ATGTATTATTAACGATCTCGGTTTAGAATGAAATCTTAAAAGTCATGGATGTTTCTTTTAAGATCATCATTTAATGTGAATTTCAGGTTATAAAACTTTATATAAGTTATGAAATGTTTGAAGGTATTTATTTTTCTGTGGGCCATTTGAGGGATACCAGGAGAACATTTTCTGCCCCCAAGTTTTTTTTTCCTACCTGTCTTCTTGATGCCTCAAGTTTTTGCTTTTGGTTTTTGCTTTTTGGATTATGATCTATGGTGGACAGCTGAGGAGATGTCAGTGATACACAGTGGTTTGTCAGCTTCAATTTCTTATTAGTACTCTACCAGAGAGTAGAGACCTGAGGGAATGGGGCACAGGATGGGTAGGTCTTGACAGAAGCAATAAAAAAGTGCCAAAGAAGGGAACTCCACACCATGGTGAGGGCATAGCAGAAGTAAAAAGCTTTATAAAAAAGAAAAATATTCGTAGAAGGGATAGCAAAAGCTGTATATCCTACAGTTTTGTCTAGAATTGCTCTGATGGCTAATAATTTATAGACGCTTTGGTTTTTTTTTTTTTTTTTTTGGAAGAGCAACACATTTATAACATTTACATATTGTTTTACAGGTTTTCAAGCACAGCTGTAGCCATGACCTTATCTAAGCTACTCTGTCAGTTAGCCAGGACAGGTACTAGTAGCTCCATTTTAGAGAAGGTCCAAACTCCCATAACCACTAAGTGGAGAAGCTGAGATGAGAACTCATATCTTTTGGTTCTGAACAGTGCTCTTTCCCCTGTACCGAATAGGGTTGGGAAATAATTTATGCTTTGGAGTCACATGATCCAGGCTTGAACTCACCACTTTTCTTGCCAGCTCTGTGACCCTCGGTATCTTACTGATAACTCTGAATTTCAGTTTCTTCACCTGTCAATAAAGGGAATAATTCTATATTGTGGAATTGTGAAAATTCTATTAAGTAAAACAGGCTTAATGCCTGCAGCATAGTAGGTATTCAATACATGGAGCTATAGACACCTGGAAAAGATATCTACTGTCCCTATTTAATATATTTTTTCTTGCACTTGAAGGCAAAATAATGAATCAAGGCAACTTTCCATTGTATTCACTAATACCATGTTTCCTTGGCTTACTTTAATTCCTGAAAAGATCTCCTGTGAAAGTGTGTGTGTGTGTGTGTGCATATGTGAATGCATCTGTGCATATCCACATCTGTTTCACGTCTTGGGATACACCTGTACACATGTACTCTCATGTACGTGTGAGCATGTCTTGGAGTGCAGCAGTAGTTCTCTATGTTCTTAGGCTATGTGGAACCAAAGTGATCAGATGTGGAGCATTTATCTGCTACAGATAACTGGAAACTGGATCACAACCATAAAGCTAATTCAGCCAGGTGGATGCTAGCTCTGTGGAATGGCCGAGCTCCAGAAACAGGCTTTTTACTCTCAAAATGTTGGTATGATACCTGAAGTTCCTAGCCTGATGACCCAGAAGGTTATGAGCAATTCTCTTTGGTAGATATAGCTATGGACTCACACAAAATTGCATTCATTTTTTAGTATACTTTATTTTCAATCTTTCATTCTTTTTTGAAATCTTTTAGAATTATCTTGATTAAAATCAGTACATAAAATAATTTTCACTGTATTTGTTACATGTGGAACAGAATAATTTAACACTTTATAAATATGTTTCACTGATGCAAGGATGGGAGAAGCACCCTTTGCTAAAAGCAGTACAGTAACTTAATTCAATTTGGCTATGGTAGCACTTTAAAAATGACCATGAGATGACACTGCAGCCAAGTAGATTAGGTATGCCTTAAACCGAGAGTTTTCCCTAATTATGACATTTAATTCCTTTCTTTAAATATGGAACAGTCTATCATTCAACTTAAAGTAAAGTAATGTTTATTACTCTGTTTTAATAGTATTGACTAGGAATGAATCCCTTAATCACAGACTCATAAATCATTTGAGGGGGCTGGCCCGGTGGCGCACTGCTACAGTGCGCCGCTTGGGAGTGCTGCGGCGCTCCCGCCGAGGGTTCGGATCCCACATACAGACCGGCCGCTCACTGGCTGAGCGAGGTGTGGACACGACACCGAGGGTTGCGATCCCATTGCCGGTCCCGGTCCGGTACGGGCGCGACACTGAGGGTTGCGATCCGTTGCCGGACACGAAAAAAAAAAAAAAAAGATAAATCATTTGAGGACTGTTTCACTGAAGTGGGGAGTGTATTTAAAAAGCCATAGTAGTCAGAAAGTCTCCGTACCAAACAAAGGGCAACCATTTTATTTAAGATCAATAAGCTGTATATATGAACCATTGTCTTCCGTAGAAGGGATAGCAAAAGCTGTATATCCTACAGTTTTGTCTAGAATTGCTCTGATGGCTAATAATTTATAGACGCTTTGGTTTTTTTTTTTTTTTTTTTGGAAGAGCAACACATTTATAACATTTACATATTGTTTTCACGAAAAAAAAAAAAAAAAAGATAAATCATTTGAGGACTGTTTCACTGAAGTGGGGAGTGTATTTAAAAAGCCATAGTAGTCAGAAAGTCTCCGTACCAAACAAAGGGCAACCATTTTATTTAAGATCAATAAGCTGTATATATGAACCATTGTCTTCACCACCCTCATAGAATTCTGTTAAAGTCTTCCCACAAAATTAGATCAACTTCCAGTTTATTTAAAAAGCGGATACCTCTGTTACACTTTAATCTGCTTTGACAGCAGTGGAAGGTCACAGGAATATTAGAACATGAATTCACATTTAAATAGACATGATACAAACATGCACACATATGTATATATTGAGTGTTTTCATTGACTTGCTTTTCTTCCATATAAATATATAAATATTGAATAAAGTGCTTGGGAACATGTCTGTACATATATACAGATACATGTTTGTCTATATACACTTGAATAGTTATTTATGAAGAGAATACATATACATTTGTAATATATATCTGGTCAAAAGACATCTGTCAGGCAATATTTATGTTCATTCTGATCAAGATTGAGTACATGGGGGTAGAATCTGTAATCTTTTCTCTAATATGTAATGAAATGTGCAGAGTTATAAACTAAGGCAAAATACATTAGAGCAGAGACTTTTTAACATCTATATTTTCATCAGTTAGTATGGTATGATCATTAAGGAGTAGTTCAGTTCAAATGCAGTCTTGGTGCTAGTGGCATATTATAAATTCTAGCTTTGAAACAGTTAACAATCTTTCAACATATCTATAAGAACATAATTAGGATAGCCCTATCGCATTTCCAGATTACACAATGGTGCTTTCCACATGCTTTAGCTTTTAAATATGCATTTTTTTTTCCAGAGACTAAGGGCAAAAACTATTTCTTATTCAGTAGAAATGCTTTAGCTTTGTAATCGTATATGTAACATTTATTCCCTCAATAACAATGTGCAATTTAACCTTGAATATTACAATATCAAGGTGGATTAACTGCTGTTAATCTCTTTTAGCAACCATTTCTACAAAATATATTATCTACTTTTTAAATTAGGGAGTCCAGTGTCAGTGAGTAATACTAACATGAGTAAATTTTTAGAGAGATGTAACAAAAATTTTGCTTACAACTTTGACAATCCTAAATTGGGTCCAGACTTAGGTGCACATTTCTAAATTAATTATGACTTTTGACCTCTGATGATATTTTCCCCTCCCTTGTTTGGTTGGCTTCCATTTGTGACCAATCTCAGGAAAACTTACTGAGAATATTATACTAAGAGTTGAAACAAACCTATTTCTGAATTAGCTAAGAAGGAAATGAATTGATTCTCAGAATAATTCTGTTTATATTTGACAAGGACCATTTCAGTTTAGTCATTTTCTTTATAGGCAAAAATCTTGTTTTAATTACTTTATATCCCTAGTGCCTAGAAAATTGCTTCACACATAAGTGTACACTCACTAGATGATTTTGGAACCAAGCTGAATGGTTTTAATACACAATATAGATTGATCTGAAAGCATCGATTAATTGATGAGTGTCAATAGGAAAGTCACCTACTTTTTACAGAAGATGTCATAAGATTCTACTACTGTCAATAGCCGGAAACCTGAGTTTATTCCTCAGTCCCGACACAGGTATATTAACATACTGTTTACTGCTCAAAGGAGCACATGCATGATGCAGTCATTTCACAGCAAATTACCAAATACCTCTACAGTACTGTTTTAGAGAAGCAATATCTAGAAATGTATTTGGTAATGTTAAATTATCCTTTTGATAGTTTACCTAGAAGAACACATATTAAAGAAGACCACATTGAAAATTCAGAGTAAAGCACAGGAAGTAGAATAGGAAGCAGCAATAGTTATTCAGTAACATTTCAAATCTTTTTCACTTCTGAGAATTAACTTGAAATGCAGCAAATGCCAGCAACCCTGTGAATATTTCAAATGGCATCTAAGAAAAAGCAGGAGGGAAAAATGTTGTCAAGTATTTGATTTAATTATCTCAGCAATACAGATTTCATAACACTGTCCTTAGTGTCTTTTTTTTTTTCCTTTTAAAATATATATCATGGTAAATGTTAAAGAGAATTTGTCTTTATTCAAATGGCCATTATATTCAACAGATTTTTCACTATTTATAGCTATTTTTATTTACAGCAATAGGTAACCAACTCAATCCCATGCTATCAATTAACAACATAATAGCAAGGTTTCCATTGGAAAAAAGAAGTTAATTTAGATTTATTTAGGGCTTCATTATAGTTACACAATAAAAGCTAATTATTTTAAAGACATATCATTTACAATGTTAAAAATAAGTATCATAAAGCTCACAGCTGAATGCTGTCAGAACATTTTTGAAGTGCACATTTTGTGGCATTTAATCCTGCTTTTCATTGACAGAATAAAATGAGGCATATAGATATTATTGTTGGTTCCGCTAGGCTGGCCTAATTTGGCCTAATTTTTTCCAGTCTCCCTGTTTTTTTCTCTTTTTTCCCCAGATAGGTGAAAATGTGCTCAGCATGCCCTTCATGGTTGCCATGGCAACTAGCTTATCACACACAGCTAACCTTTTCATTCCCAGTGTCGATCTTGTCTGTAGAAGCATCTTGTGAATGTTGTTTTCCTAGAGCAACCATAGAGCAGTCATTCTCTGTTGTCTTGGCATCTTTCTTTGAATTCTTTTTTTGTCCCATTTGGAGTTGACTAGACTTGTAGGCCAAGGTGGGTATAGTGTTCACTAAAATTAACTGCAATGGTTTTTTGTTTTCCTTGTACTGACACTGAATATACCGTGAAAAGGCCGACCTATAGGTCTTATTGAACAGTGTGTAGACAAGTGGGTTGACCGCTGAGGACAGGTAACCAATCCAAACAAACACGTTGAGCAGGGCTCCGATGACGTCCTCATTGCATGACTCTTTGCAGATGACGGCCATTATGTTTGTGATGAAGAAAGGGCACCACATCACCACAAACAGAAAGAAGACGATGCCCAGCACCTTGCAAGCTTTTTGCTCATTGCTGATGGACTGCATAGTCCTCCTGCCTGCGTAGGACCCTGGTTCCCTGTGGATCGACCGCTGGAAGAGCTTTTCAGAAGATAGGGAACTCTGAGGGAGGAAGCTGAAAGAAGCTAATTTGGTCCGTGTGCCAAGATCACTCACACACAAAGTAGCTTCTTTCTGGAGTGACTTGATAGTTAGAAAGTAGGTGATCACCATGATGGTTAAGGGAATGAAAAATGACACAAAAGAGCCGATCAGGACAAAGTTATCATCAGCGAGTAAGCAACTCCCCTGCTTAAAGACCTTGGAATCATCCTGTAGCCCAAAGACTGGTATTGGCATGGATACACCTGGAGATGAACAGAAAACACTATTATTAAGGAACTGAGTACACGAAGGCAAGAGCATCGCCAAATAAAGTGGCTCTTTAAAGGATTTTATATTAACATTGTTTAAAAGCTGAACACATACTTTCAATGAGAATTTAAAATTCCTTTGGACTTACTTATATGTTTTATAAGTATATATTATTTAGTTCCTTATATGTTATATTGCCCTATATAGATAACTCTTTACTTAAAAATAACCATAATAAATCTAGCTTAAGTTTGTCATGCCATATTTCCCTGATTATAACATTATACCTCTTAATTGAAGAAAACATATGCAGAGGCAAAGAAACAAAAATAAAAATGACCAATTGTGCCACCATCCAGAAATGGCCACCATTAACCATCTGATGCTGTTTGTCTTAGGAACCCTCCCCCCATATCATGTACACACATTTTAAAACAGAATTGGGGTTGTATTTCATACATAGCTCTGCAACTGTTTTTTTTTTTATCTAACAGTATATCATGAGCATGGCTTATACATAAAAATAACTATACAATTATAAACATAGTATATTTTCTTTCTAAGAAATTTGGAAAATATAAAAAGGCAACAATGAATAAAGAAAAAATAATATCTATTCTCACCAGCCAGGGGCAACTGTAATTTACATTTGTATTGTTTCTTCTTCCATTTACATGTACCCATAAAAATATATGTATATAGTTTATGTGCAGTTTTAGATTTTTCTATTCCATTTAACATTCAATTCTAAAAATTGCACATATTTTAATATGTTTTAAAAACATAGTTTTCTAATGTTAATTTAGAAAGTAACTTTAGAAAGTAACTTTAACCAATTTTGATTCTTTTTTTAAAAAGTTTTTACTGTGGAAAAATTTTAACATATACAAAAAAACCAAAAAGAACAAAAACACAAACTCAGCACGATGAGCCTATCACCCGGCTTCAACAGCAATCAACTTGAGACCAATCTATCTCCCCCATACTCCCCCTGCTGCTACCCTTCCCATGATGTTGAAGCAAATCCTAGACATAGTTTCATTCAATCTGTAAATATTTTATTATGTAGATCTAAAAGCTATGTACCCTTAGAAAAACCTAATATTATCACAGTACCATTTTCATTCCTAGATAGAAATTTAATATTTCCTTAATATCAGTAAACATAGAGTAAGTGATAAAATTACCAACTGCCCCACAAAGGTCATGATATATTTTTAGTAGAACATTCATAAAAGTGGGTTACAAAAAACAAGGCAGCCACACATTTTCTTTTACCAACAAATATGGGAGTTAGGTACAGAAGGAGACAATACATGGGATCATGTACGTATGGTTGGCTGCTCTCATTCAGATTCGGGGATCTGCGAGGCTCCCTCAGGCTCAGGGCTCAGGCAGAGGAGGGAGAGGTGAGGAAAGGCAACCCTTGGCCCTAATCATGCTAATTTCTCCCAGGATGATAGGATCTTATTAAAGGGATATTCAATTGGCCACGTTGTGCAGTTACGCCCCTTTCTGAGGCTCAGGAGATGCTGGGGAGGTTGGGTCTTGCTGCTCAGGCCACAGTCCCCACAGAGCCCCTCTCCCCTCCTGGGGGAATACGGCGTCTTTCCTCTCCTGTCCTGGGACTGGTCAGGCCAGGGTAATGATGAGATGGCTGGTTCTCTCTGCCATAAAGGAAGAATCAGAGGGATGGGAAAGGAGAGGAAACATGAATCAAATTCTCCATATAACTTACTTTAAGGTTGCTTCTCATGAAAGGGTAGATACCAAAGGGATACTCTTGAAGGAAGAGTAGAAATAAGGTTTCCTTCTAACTCCTGCCCATCTTTTTGGCTCCCTCAGAGCTGTACAACTTACTTTAAGGTTGCTTCTCATGAAAGGGTAGATACCAAAGGGATACTCTTGAAGGAAGAGTCAGAAATAAGGTTTCCTTCTAACTCCTGCCCATCTTTTTGGCTCCCTCAGAGCTGTACAACAAAGAGTGCCCTGGTTACTACTCTGACCACCCTTTAGAGTCCAATAAGTTGTCTAAGCTAGCCAAGATCATCGGTGTCAGGGGCTACTGCCTGACTCTTGCCATCCATCTGGAGAAAGTTCCTTTGAGGATCTGTAATCTAACTTCTGCACACTCAGAACAGAGGCCAGCTCCATCCAACCAGGGGCTAACCTCACGTCACCTCATAGTGGCCATCTTGGCAAGGAAGGAATATTAACTTGAATTGATGTAATGCTTAACACAATCTTTCTTAGTGACATTTGTCATTATCTTCACAGACTTAACTGATAATATTTGTCACTTGTCTGTGCAAGGCCATCTCAGTATTCTTGGAAGGTGGAGATAAATGACATCGGAGCTGTTCTTAAGGACACTAACTGTGGCTAATGACTCTTCATTTCCTTTATTCTTCTCTGTTTCCCTTGCTGGGAACATTCTGTGGGCCAAGAAGAGATGGAAGAGCTCTGGCTCCAAAGGGGAACATCCTCTGAGACCCTAGACACCCACCAGTTTTTCTTATCCTTCAAAAAACTCTTGGTCATAAAAGTTAAGACATGAATTCTAACAATAGTGTTTTTTCTTCCAATGTTTAGTGTATATCTGTGAAAGATGTTTCCCATACTCATCTACACAGTCTTCTTAGACAGTGTAGTTGCTCATTGACTAGACATCCATTTGAGACAGCTCTGGATTGAGTCTTGCCTGTGGTTTGTTCTGGATGGGTTACTTTGTCCCTGTAGTCTTCAGTTCTTCATCTATAATACAAGGCTGGCACCATCCTGCCTTCATGGGTATAATGAGGATAAAAAATGGATCAAATATGCAGAGCACCCAGGACAGTGTCTATCCAAAGTGGATATTCTACCAATGGTAGATAAACACGAGAGTAGCTTTCTCTGCAGAATTATTCAGGTTAGATACATCAACATTATTTTGTTCTAATCTATATTGTTTAGTTTGTATATACTACACTTTATGTAATATATCTTCTTAAACCAAAAAAAGATAAAAAAGAGTTTGGGCTATTGCTTATGTAGTTAATAATGAAGTAATTATTAGCTTCTTCCAGGGTGACATAGGGTCTCAATGAGTTTTAATTTTATACAGCCAGAACTTGTTGATTACTTTTCTAATATGACAAATTATTAGCCATGATATACATAAACAAAATATTAAAAGGCATGTGATTTTGTAATTATGGGTGTTCATTTTTCTGATTAATACAAAGGAAGTTACTACCTTGAGAGCCTTTTGACCTATTTGTTTGCAACCTGGTAATTTAAATAAGTGACAAATCTCAATTAACCAGAGTATGGGATAGCCTAGCATGCCAAATTCTTCAACCATCTGGAATTCAGAGCAATGTCCTTGGTTTCAGAGAACACACACACACACACACACACACAGAACATCTGGAATTCAGAGCAATGTCCTTGGTTTCAGAGAACACACACACACACACACACACACACACACACACACACGTCCAGATTTCTGCAGCTAGGAGGGAAAGGGGTGATGGAGCATCTGCACTGTACTGACGTGGAGACTCCCCCTCTTAGCTGCCTGGGATAGAGAGCCATTGTAACAGAGGATAAGGTAAGAGGGAACAGGTAGGGTTGTTCTGTGTTTGGAAGAGAGACCTTAATTTTCAGCAGGGGAATCTAGCTGATTAGGTCTTTAAGTGACCCATTCCTCTTTACATACAGCAGAAGTATCCCAAATGCTATCATATACCATTCTTTTTCAGTGCCCCACTCATAGTAAGTGGTCAGTAAGGGTTTGTAGCAAGAATAACCAGAAAGTTAAAGCAACACTTTATAAAGAGGGAAAGAAATTTTCTGTCAAAGAACTAGAACTTCTATATAGACTTTGTGGGTACAATAAGCAGTTTAGAAACACGCTCATACCGAGAGAGATGAAGACACTGGCTGATACTCAAGATTGTAGTCACAGCGAGCTCCATGGCATTAATTTCCTGGCAGCTTTTTTTGATAATAGCTGCTTTTGGAGACCTGACATCTCCTCTCACTTGAAATTTCTGCATATAAAGCATTTTCCTTTATGAACAAACAGACAGTAGCTTGAACTACGTGACTCTGCATTTTGTTTAATATATTTTTTCTGAAGAGTGGAAAACAATCAAAATTCAGTATCAGTATTGGATCCTCCATGTGCATTCTTATTTCTTTCCATTGAAACTCAGATGATGAAATGAATGGGAAACACTTATCCCCAAGAACATGAAGGCTTTGGTTGGGGTCTTTCTTTTAGCAGAGCTCTGCTTATTCTTTGCACATAAAGTTTGCACCTCTAGTTAACATCACAGGCTGTGTAAACGATCTTAACTGAACCACTGGCTGTGAAAGATGGGCTTTATTCTTCATCCTAGATTTTTACACTTTAATATGTTAGGACTGAAGGTAATTCCGAGACAGTGTACATTCCATGGGAAACAAGAAGGTTGCCTTATTAGGTAGCTATCCTCTCGCGGGGAGAGGACAGTGGGAGTCCCTAGGGGCCTCAGGTGGAGTAGGAGGTGGGGGGAACAGAAACAAATATTCCAGGGCTCTTGTGAAAAAGATTGAATTTCGGTTCATAGATTTCAGATCCCCTGAAACTGCTATCTTTTCTTTGCATTTTAATGCATGCAGAACTTTTTCAGGTTGTAAGAATAGATTTACTAGCAGTTTGATAGAAAGCACCACAAGTAAGTACTGCAGGATAATCCTCATAATGCAGGGAAAGAGGGATTGACTATGGCAACTGTGACTTGGAGTCACTGTCCTTCTAATGTAGAGTGTAATGCTCAAGAGTTGCTAAATTCCTTATAATCTTTGGCAGATGCACATAAAAATGAGAGCCAGTTAAGCATGTTAGTTACCCAAGAAGTCGTATGTTTCTTCTCTTAGATTAATTCTGAGTAGCTCTAATAATAAACTGCAACTTTTAAAGGTATTTTCACATGTGTTTGTTCACTCTAAATTGATGTTT